AAAACAAGACTAGTAGCTAAAGGTTACACACAAGAGGAAGGCATAGATTACTTTGATACTTTCTCACCTGTTGCTAAAATAACTACAGTTAGACTACTTCTTGCTGTTGCATCCATAAAACATTGGCATGTCCATCAATTAGATGTAAACAATGCATTTTTGCATGGTGACCTCAATGAGGAAGTTTATATGACCCCACCCCCTGGATATTTTTATCTGATTCTTTGTCCAATTCTATAGTTTGCAAACTGACTAAAAGTCTTTATGGCATTAAACAAGCCTCTAGACAATGGTTTCAAAAGTTAACCACTTGTTTGTTGCATTATGGCTTCACCCAATCCATATCTGATTGCTCTTTATTTACCATGCAGTCTGACAATCATTTTTTGGCCTTATTAATATATGTTGATGATATTATCCTAACTGGTGATGATCTTAGTCAGATTACTGCCATTAAAACACATTTGGATAATTGTTTCACAATAAAAGATCTTGGCCAACTGAAATATATCTTGGGTATTGAGGTTGCTCATTCTGAAAAAGGCATTAATCTATGCCAGAGAAAGTATGCTTTAGATATTTTATCTGACTCTGGTTCCTTAGCTGTCAAACCTGCCAACACTCCTATGGATCCTAATTTGAAACTAACCTCTATTGCTGAAACTGGGTTAAATGCATAGATCAAACATCCTACAGGAGGTTGATTGGCAGGTTACTATATCTAACCATTAGGTTTTATCTCTCCCCCATATAAAAGGGAGAATTAGGGTTGTACACCACACTTTTTGATTTTCCAGATTTTCGTTCAATACAATTTCTTCTTTTCTTTATCTCGTCTCCACTGAATTTCCTTCAATGAATCGATCACTTTATCGTTCATATTAGAAAATAAATCTCCCCACCTTCACGACAATTTCTTGCAGTCGCCGGTCTTTGCACCGTTGGTGGCGTCGGCGGCCACGTCATCGCTTCTAGCAACGACGACACAATACTGACTTACAGTCTCGCCGTCGACCACCATAGAAGTCGTCCTGGACATAGGAGATCTCCGTCGCTGCGAGACAGTCTGCAGTCTGCGTGCGGCGAGGCAAGATGGAAAGGCACAATTGGTGTCGTCGAAGATGGCAAAATTGAACGGTGTCGGTGCAGCGTTGCGACAATCCAATCTCTGGCGCTGGCGACGGCGAGTTCAGACGACGGTGGTGCCGAGATGGTGAATCGGGACGACGGCCTTGTTGTTGTGAGAATTGTGGGCATTCCTTTTGAAAATTAGACAAATATCAAGGATTTGTATGCAATTTTAGGATTTTTAGTTATATTACAATTGAGTTCATTGAGGCAAATCTATAATTTATTAAAGATTTAGAAAATATATAATAATCATAAAAAAAAAACACATTACTCTTACTGGTATGCAAATTGAAAATACACATCCTACATAATGCACAACACTGCTAAATATAGTGCACAATAATAGCTATGAAAATGCACATTTGTGTATATTCTGTGCACATAATGCGTGAAAAAAAACATAAAATATATATTCTTATTACATTATTGTAAATCTGTATATGTATTAGTGTATTTAATTTATCTCTAATGTGCATTATGAAGTACAATTAGTTGTGTGCAAAATTTGACCAACACAGAAAAACCGGAACGAAACCAACGATAATCAAATTTTAGATTCAATGTATGGTTATTGAACTTCTACTTTTTAAATTTCGGTTGTTTCATTTCGATTACGACTTTATTTTTAAAATAACTAAGACGACCGAAGTATATTCATTTTTTTATGTATTTATATGTATATATTTATTTTTTTTAGCTAGTAATAATATAAAATGCTAAAAAAATATTAAACTACTAAAT